TTAAAGAAATAAGACCAAACAGTACTAGCAATGGAACCATTCACAAAAACATGTTGAAAACTCTCAAAGTTGAAACAACATTGGCATTTAGACACAATACTAAAACCTTTATTCCATAGAATGTTATCAATAGGCAAAAATCTTTTAAGGCACCTCCAAGAAAGTAATGAATAAGATAAAGGAATAGTATTATGCCAAAGAGAATTGAAGATAGTAGAAACATCACCTTTAACTCTAATCTCCTCCCACACATTCTTTAAATTAAAATTACCATAGGAAGACAAATTAAAGATAATTTTATCCTTGACATACAAATTTAAAGGGATTTGAATGATTTTCTCAATGATATCATACGGCACAACCTCCTGAAGCTTAGGAATGTTCCACTCCCCATTATGGATGAAATCACGAACCCTAGTATTAACAATAGTATGAGTATTAAGGTAGTGATCAATAGAATTAGTACCCAACCAATTATCCTGCCAAAACCCAACCTCCCCAATGCCAATGCCCCATTGAATGTAATTTTCAGCTTCCCATACAATTTCTTTAGTAAGGATTTGTAAAAACTTTTTTAAATATGAATGAGATTTGCGGCATCTATTATGATTTGTATGCGCACACTTTTTATCTATATTCAATAATTTTTGATAATTTCTTACAAATATGAGAGAGAAGAAATTTCTTACAAGAACTTTATCTTGCATGCAATATGCTCAACTCGTCAGCTTGTTGATGAATCGAGTTTGAGCTAGTTTATGAATCAGCTCGATCGGTTCATTTATAACCCTAGCTAACATCATCGAAATTGATGTAAGAGTCCTCTAGATCAAAATTCATGCATACCCTTTAATAGCATGAGATAATCTTATTACATTTGAAGTCAATATTAAAATATGTTGAACTCATCTTGGTTTGTTGGTTGTGAGCTTAGATTATCAGCTAAGAGGTATTGGATTCAAATCTTGTGTTGTATGCGATGTATGTGTGAGTCTGTTTTAATTGACCTAACTGTCCCAAGAAAAAAAAAATTTTTGAAATAAGAACGTAATTGTTTGCTTTCCATCAAGACCCTAGGGTTTGCTTTAATAAACTCTTTTTTATAGTTTGATTGCCAACATGTTTCCATGAGCTTTGTTGAGATGGCTTAATTATCAAATTGCAATGTCAAGAAAAACTATCATGTCAACAACTCAATTTCAAAACTGATCATGATTGCATGTGCATTATTTTCATAATTTTGTGAATGAAGCGAAAATATAGTCAAATTATTGATAAGACCAAACTATTTGGTAGATTAGTTTCTCTTGGAAACCTAATGACCGATTAAAATAGTTTTTAAGGCACATCATAACCACTTTTAGCGCTAATTAACAATTTGATTATTATAAAGAATTTGCAATTATTGTTGCATTAGAACCATAAATACGTCATGTACATGCAACCGTATAGTTTTAATTTCTATTATGCGGCTCCGTAATTACTACTCTGCACAAAATTATAGTATATATAATTATGGATTTACAATATTAAATATTACATTTTTTTTTTATATATCCGAAGCACCATTAGCACAATAGAGTAATGAAGTTCATATATATATATATATATTTGAAGCAAAATTGATGTGTGAATAGCAAACACTTAATTGCATTTATTGATTAATTTTGAAAACCAAACAGAAAAGAGAAATTATCTTCCACTTCTATTTTGTTTTCATTTTTTCTACTCAGTTCCTTCAAAACAAATACATATTGTAAACTAGCATATGTATTTTTAGATATTTAACAGGTAGCTGATTGGTCATAACAAATAAACTCGTACAACGTGAACTCTGCCAATGAAAATTTACTTGTGGGCACTGATCCTGAACTTAGCAAAACAGTTAAAGGGGGGTTATCTCCAATAGGAAAACTAAAAGTTCATTCAAAACACTGACATCGGGTCAACTTCGTGCCTTTATTAATAATTTTTTTAATTTTTTATGTAATAGGCTTTGAAGGTCTACTATAAATGTATAAAATAAATATCTCGGTTGACGTTATGACCATATATTATGAATCATGCATAAATTTTGAATACAAAATTAAGTATCAAGCTTACCAACACCCCTAGCATTCCAGATTATAGAACTATACATATAAAACATTTTTTTAAGATAGCATTGGTTCTTGTTAATCTAACATCATCGGATAAAACAAGATTGTTCTTTTTCTTATTATTTTTTTTTTTTTTAATTTCCTCCTGGAGGGTTCCAACAAACCGCCATCTTTGGCAACATTAACTAAGCGGAGGTCTTCCAATTTATCCAAATCATTGTAAGAATAGTCATCATTAGAAGAATCTGGTTTCACCTTTCTTTTAATAAGAAGCAGAATTGGCAGAAGGAGAGCAACCTTCAAAATACTCATTCGGATCCTCATTAATCTCTTGCTTGCCTTTATATCCCCCCTCAAGATTATTTGATGATTGACCATGTGAAAGATCACATGGAGATATATTAATATTAGGGACCACGCATATTGAACACATCCAAGGATATAGAAACATCTTCATTAGTTCCTATCTTAAAATTAATAGGAGTGCAACCATCATCCATTTGATTCCTAATATTAACATATTGATTTATAATAGTTGTTGGATTGGAGATGATCCCAACACACATACATTGACCTCAATAACAGGAGGATTAGAAGGAATACAAATAACTTCAAAGTTTTAGATTTAATCAAGGTTGACTTTTGTAGATGAGAATAGAGACGGAAACATTCATTTTTAAAAAGCCCCAAAGTTCTAAAGTGGTCACAAAAGGGAGGAAGGTAATCCAAAATAACATTTTGGACATACCTAAATTTTTGTAGCCCAAGCCAAATGCTCGTGGGTTATTGCTTAGTGATGCTGAGTTCAACTAGCACTCTCACAACGAACGACTTGGACCGGCCGACTGCGGTCGCATTATCAACTTGAAGAGACCGTCCAAACAGACTACCCAAACCATAAAAGATTTTGAGAAGAAATGAGGTTTGAGCTCAGGAAAGAAATTCCAGAAAGATATCAAAAAGATGAAACCACTTAATCAATTTCATGAAACAATTGCAGACATAATATGATCAATGTCCACAAACCCTACTTTAATCTAGATCATTTTCCATTTTTTTAAGAACATGACGTAGATCGAGTAAAGTAATTGAAAAGTTGCCGCTAAGCTTGAGATTAAAGAAAAACTGACGGATCAAATCCAACTTCGGTCTATGTGAAGTAAATTTATTAATAAGAGCAAATTGAAAAGGAGCAGCTAGGGCTTTTATTTCCTCTTTTGAAATCCAAAGGGCTGTCATAACACAGTGAGTGGTGGCCTTGAGATCAAGAAGGAACGGGAAGAAGATGACCCAGAAATGACGTCGTTAAATGAACGAGTTTTTATAGTGGCGTTTAGAAAGCTCGGATTAGCAAGTGAAATACGATTTACAACCATACTAATAGGGGGAAACCCTAGGATGAAGAGCACCAACAATGAGCAGGGATGGACGGGCGGAATATCGCAGGCGACTTAAATTGAGAATAGTGGGCACTTGGTTCAGTTGGTTGTCTTAACTTTAAAAAACTCTTTTTAAGTATTTTACACTTGTGTAGATATTTTAATGTATATTTAGCAAATCACATGATATTTTTATTTCAGTAAGAAGGAATGAATTCATGACTTATAGGATTTAAGTATTTGTGTGTTTGTCATAATTTTCTTTAAGAATTTGATTGCCTTTTAAGAAAAATATCTTATTTGTCAACATTTTGTATTGTAAATGATTGATGTATTGATATCATACTCATTTATAAGGCTTAAAATGTTAATGTTTATATGTTTGCATGTTGATCGTTTTTCTTTTTTTATTTTAATTCATAAATAGAAAATTCTTATTGTGCAAGAAAAAACATAATCCTTTCATATTAAATAAAAGGCCAATTTGGTAACTCAACATTTTTCTTTTGCTTAAAATTTTGTTTTTATCTTTTTGGTACTTAAATGCAAAAGTATAAACAAACTCTTAGACGCCTATGGCTTTTGCTAAGAAATATTTTATTAATCAATCAGGCATGCAGCAGGTAAACACAAAGCAGCAGCGTTTTAATTCTCTACATAACCGAGTTTTTACGTTTCTGCTATATCCCCATTAGCTCTTCCTCTTGCGTCCACATTTTAACGTTTTCTCAGACCAATTAAGGCTTTTCCTGTCGTATATACCGTCTTTTAATATAAAGAAATCAGGCAAATAAATTCATAGACGAGAAAAAAAAAAAAACATGAATAAAAGAATTTTTAAGTGATTTTAACTCTCACAAAAATACTTACATTAGACAGAAACATAGAAGTGCATTTTCAGCGGTGATTTTTGGCTTTGTTTGGAAAAATAATCTTTTAATTTAAAAATTAAAATTTTAATACTAAAAAATTACTTCAAGAAACAGTAAGAAAGTCGTTCCAACCCACAAATTTGTAAAACAGCGACGGTTAAAACCGTCAATATTTTGTGCCTTTAATGACAAATTTAACCACCACTTTAAAGAGGAAGCATTTATACGGATTTTATTAATAAATTTTTTAAAATCATTATCAATATTTGGAGATTATATTGAATTGAATTTGTATTTGGGAACTCCTTAATTAAAAAAAAAAAAAAACTAAATACGTGGAACCATGTAAGCCTGGTCCTTAGCGTGTCAAAACATCCCACTCACAAACAACTCACCCAACCATTTCGTATTCTTCACGTGCATGGACGCTTTCCTTGACTTATCCATGACGTCCAGCTTACCATCGACGACTTCCATAAAAAAAATAAAAAAAGAGAGAAGAAGAAGAATTGAATAGCACATGTAAAATGTTAAGAAAAAAACTATATCTTCTCACACAAGCTAAAGAGAAATTTTGAAGGCTTCAGCAAATCACGCGGCTCTGAAATTTTTCTTAAACATATTTACTTTAAAATATAAAAAATATAATCTGAAATAAAACTAATTAAATTAACATCCTTTCTCATTGCTTTATCTGGTTATTTCCCTCCCATCTTCTTCATAAAACTTACAAAAAAAAGAAGAAAAAACGTAAATTAACAGTATGATATTTGATATCCTTTCTCTCCACAAAAGAAAAGAATGAACTAAAAAACGGGCTAATTTTAGCGAGGCTAAGCATCATCTTCCTTAACTGGAAGGGAAGGTCCAACTAGCAGGCTTGCCGCTACTACCATTATTGACTTTTACAATATTATTTACTGCACCACTATTGCTACTGCTTCCTGCTTGATGCGTTCCGCCGATAATCGACGTGATGGCGGCGGCCAGCGCCGCTGTGAAGTTAGGATCCGCCGTGATTGCCGCGGTTGCTGCGCTCACTGAATCGGCAAGGTTATGTGGCGGGGGCGGCCTTGCCACCTCCGCTGACGACATCTGCAATCCAGAGAATTTAGACTGATTATATATCGCTTGACCAAAGATATGTGGCAGAGAGGACGGTTGAGCAGGTTGCGTTGGCGGCAGGTGGAACTGAGGAGGCGGCGGGCGCTGTTGGTATTGAAGCGGGGTGGGCGATTGAGTGAGATCTAAGGTGACCGTAGGAAAAGGAGCGGAAGCGGATATAGTAGCCATGCTTGAGGAGCATGGGAGAATGGTTCGGGCGAGAACGTTGGAGTTCATCAAGCCGTCGTTGCTCGGCATCGAACCGGAGAGGAGCATCGAGGCTGCTGCTGAGGTGGTTGACGCCATCGCCATGGCCGGCGGTGGAAGAGGGTGGTTGTGGTTTCCTTCGTAGGTTGTTATGAGGATGGAACGGTCCTCGGCGCACCTTTGAACCTATAATAGTTTCGATTAAGTTAGCCAACGTGGTATGATCAATTTTATAAATTTAGTAATAATAGAATTTAAGTATTTGTATTTGATTAATTACCTGCTTGCGAACGGGGCAGCCTGTAGCCATGGTACATCTGTAGTAAGCTCGGGGACATGGATTTCCCTTGGCCATCTTCTGCCCATATTTCCGCCATTGGCAACCATCCGCTATCTATTAAACATAACAATTATCTTAATTATCATATATATATAATCTGGCTTTACTCTAATCATAGAATAATAATTCGTTTTTGAAATAGTTATTAATAATTACCATGGGAGCTTCAGATCGAGCTCGAACAGAGACGCGAGCCTTTCGCATGGTAGCTTCCTGAGCTTGTTCTGCTGGTTTTAGGCCAACCCCTCCTACTTTGGGTTGATTGTTCGGAGCCCATACATGTGAAGAATTCTCAGGGCTTTCCTCTCTCACAAAGCCATTACCTTCGCGTTCAAAAACCATCATTTCTTTACTGTTTGCGCTCTTCTCCTTATTCGCCTGAGACTGCGATGACGGATCCTGACTGCCTCCATCGGTCGAAGAATGGGTCGACGGCTCGTCGGCATCGCCGGCAGCGAGGCCTAAGTCAATGAATTGCCGTGGCACGATAGCTACTCCAACGTTCTCCTGCTTCCTCAATTGATCATCAGAAACAGCCTCTTGGCTCTGTGTAATATTATTGCTTTTGTTATTCTGGTTTCGTTGCTGCATTAGAGCCATAAAGTGCATGTGAAGAGCGTTGTAGTTGTTGGTCACTTGGCTTAACATCCCTCTTAATCTCTGGTTCTCCTCGGTCATCCTCCCCAGCTCACTCTGCATCGCGACAAGCTGAACAATCCACACAAACAATATGGCTATCATTAATTCCAATTCATTAATTTAATCACTCAGATTAAGAAACAAATATTTTCAGTTTAATTCTACCTCAGTCTTGCCTTCCTTTTCCTCTTCGTTAAGCGACATACCCTCATCCAACGTCGACTGGTCGCTTCCGGTGTTGGCAAGGTGCAAACCAGTCTGTTTACCAATTAAGCAAAGCAAAAGTTAGTAAATAACCTTAAAAAAAAAAAGATTTTTTTTGCAGGAATAACGATTAACATGCTATGAGGCAATTAATTAAATTACATTTATGGTGAGATCTTCCTTCTTGATCATGAGATCAAGAGGGATTCCGACAGGAGTGGAAACGCGGGCCTTCTTCTCGCTGGAGAAGAAATCCATCTCTCCAGCGGGTTTCTGATCATCATGGGATGATGGAGCGGCCTCGCGGCAAGCTAGGCTGATCGGGAACTCAAAGCCGGCGGCCGAATCCATTGATTGTCTGCGCTTGATAGCTCTGAATGGATTGGGTTCAAGCGTGAGGCCGCCTCCCCCTTTATTTTCCATGCAGGAACACGCGAATTGAAGCAAAGTTGTGAAAGGGAAGGAGAACTACGAAGTCTCTGAAGTCTTTTACCGGAGAGAATTGGATGGGAATAAAAAGGAAGGGAGGAGAGGGAATGAGGTCATTCGGTGCGTCAGGCGACAGCTGGAAGAAAGAGAGAGTGTGGTGTGAGGAAGGGTGGGGAGCGAGTCAAAGCTAATCTGACCGTTTCTAAGAGAAAGATGGAAAATCTAACGAATACTATTGGCCGGCGAGTTCCGAATCCGTCAAGGTGTTTGACTGGTCCCACATGCGAGCCGCAAGCGGTGACCAGACCGCACCGACGAAGGAGCGACACCCGCGGGAGACTAGAAGAAATAAGCCGTGGAATTTAGCGCGCGTGCTGCGGCGCGGTGGGACCGTCATTGGCGCCTTTTGAGGGCTTCTATTCGATTTTTTCGCCCTTTACTTGTAATTAAAGTGTAATAATATATATATATATATATATATATATATAAGTT